TAGGTAGAATTATTCTATTAATTCAGTACCTACCTATGTATAGAAAAGCTATTGGCTATTTCATGTGTTCAATAATATTTATGATTTTTATTATTTTAAACCATATTACTGGGTGTATATACAGATACAGTAGAACTTCCATGTAACGGTCACCAAAGGGTCTGTAAATAATGACCGCTATTTAGAGGTGACCGTCCTACAGATGTAGGATAACACTCGACGGGACCAAAAAAATTGACCATTACATAGAGGTGACCGTTTACGGAAGTTTTACTGTATTATGAAAAAAAAAAAATTAACTTAACTTAACTTAAGTTAATAAGTTAATTGAAAATGTTCATATAACTTTTAACTTAACTGAGTTAAAAAAAAAAATTAGGTTAACTGTTAACTTTAAACTTTTTAAAATGTTTTCCATTAACTTAACACAGTTAAAAATTTTCATTAACTTGCCCAGGCTTGATAATTTTATATTTTAAACTAATTTTATTGCGCTTATGCTATATACTGAAATCGCCCAATTGTCCACATCGTTTTCTTAGGCTTGCCCCTAGCCTAGTACAATTATTGTTAATAATTTAAAAATAATTAATAATGGTTTGTTGTAGTTGAAACTAAAAGTAAAAATACATGTAATTTTTAGATAACAATACTGCTGATGTTATTAACATTTTATTGATCCCATATCTAACACCAACAAAAACAATCATTAAAAAATGATGTGCGAGTGGTGTAAAAATAAATTGGAAACCATCTTTAGAAGAATCGGCCAAATCTTTTGCAACAGTAGTGCCAGTAAGTTATGTCACACCTGTATTAAATATTTATATGTCTGTAGGTAATAAATGGTAGACACGTTGGCATAATTCTAGTTTAGCAACCTATCGATTTTTAAGGTTTTTTTTTCCAAAAAGGGGGGACTTGGGGTGCTTAATAAGAATGTAAAAAAAAAAGGTCGGACGGACTTAGTTTTGAAGTTATCGGTGAAAAACTTCAAAAAGTAGATTTTTTAATTAGAATTTATTTTTTTCAAAAAAATACTTAGAATTTATTTTTTTCGAAATTTTTTTATTGCATATTAACATTTTTGTTGACTATGTTACCTACTTGAGGTGGTTTTGCATAGCAAGTCGAGGGATATTTTCGATTTTCGGAGCGAAGCGACGACTGCCGAAACACGCAAGTAGTCACTCTCCATAACACGCGCATTGTACTCAAAATTTAAAATTTTTAAAACTATAACATCACACTGTGAGATAATTTTAAGTGGATTGTTCTTAAAAATATTTCGTATGTAGGTGGTACTGGGAAAATTGTTGAGATTGATGAATCAAAATTTGGGATGTGAAAATACCACAGGGGACCGTTGAAGGCCAGTGGGTATTTGGTGGAGTTGAGCGTGGAACGGGTCGTTGTCAACCTCGTACCGGTGGAGAAACGTGACAAGGAACAGGGACGGACTGGGGCAACTATTCGGCCCGGGAAATTTATATTTTGACCGGCCCTTAAAATTTCGTCATCACTAAATGTAAGACTTAAATATGGTACCAAAGTTATGACAAATAATGGTTGCATCCTCCACCTACTCATTTTTAATTTCCTCAGGAGACAACTTAAGATTCTCAATGTACCTATTTAGTATTTTATCTTGATTAAATGTACTGCACAGTATTATGTATATATCACTTTTTCTATTACCTACTCTATAAGTGATCCATAACGGATGAAAAAAATAGGTTCGTTTAAACTACTTTAATTTGATTTTTCTAAGAGTATCCTTCTCTCTCTCTGATTTTTTCAACCCCACTCTTTCTTTTAGTTTCCATTTTAAACAACAAATAGATAAGTAAATATTACAAAATCATCAAACGATACACTAGTACACTACAATAAAATAAAAAAGAAGTTCAAGAATTCACTTTTTTGAATTAAGGACGTTACATTGAACGTAGGAAACTGTACCTTAAGTTATCAGCTTATTAATTCCCATCAAATTATCACAAATTATCTTTTATATTTTACTATTATGTATGTACAATATATTTATATTATATTTTTTATTGTGTACAATTTAATGTTAGTTATAATTAGTAAATACTGGCTGGCTAGAAGTGGATATATTAATCGACTGTAGAATAAAGTCATATTAAGTTAAAAATAGGGCATGGATATAAATACAATAAAAAAAACAATGCCTTAAAAATACGATTTTATGCACAGTAACAATATTACAAAGCTTAGTAAAATGCCCAGAAAAATGAAAAGCCAATTTAAATGAAAATAAAATAGAACTTAAATAGGTATAGTCATTAGTCGTTAGTCGTCATATATTGTGTTTCATTGTAATCACTTTTCAATCAGAAGCTAATCAATATTTTTGAATAAAAAACTTTGACAGTTAGAATTGGCAAGTGTTGTTTTGTATAACTGAAGTCATAGGAGCAAACAAAATAAAATAAAACGTAATAAAATAGAAATATTAGTAAGAAAAAATGATTTTTAATTATATTAAATTTCTTGAAGGAACTTAAGCTAATAGTGTTTATAAAATTGTATATTTGTATATATACTTATAAAATTTACGAAAAATTCCTTCAAACGATAAAAATGTCATAAAAACGTCAAAAAAATGTTCTATAAATCAGTAAAGTTAAAAAAATGCTAAATAAAAATTTAATTTTTAAATTATTTTATGTATGAAATACATTTTTTGATTGGAAAGCAATGTTTAAGAGAATCCAGAAAAAAATGCAATTTATCTTCAAATTCACACCCTAGTAGTTATAAATAATAATTTCTGTTTATGCATTGATGCCGAGAGGCTGGTCAACCAGCTGAACCGAAATCTAAAATCTTTAACACCAAATATAATATAAACATTTTGCACACTCAACAGTTATGATATGAAAATACAAAATATTTATAATTTATATTTATACCTACTGATTTTGTTATAAATAAATAATAATACCTAGGTAACTAATTATTTTTGAGTAGCGGCCCACCGGGAAAGTTCCCGGTATCCCGCCGGCCCAGTCCGCCCCTGACAAGGAAACATTGTGGACTGTAAGAAAGGACTGGATTTCGCCGGAAACACTAATAATTAGTGATTGTTGGAAAATAAGTTCGTGCTTTCACCTATTTACCTGTATTAGATTTTTGCGAAACGTCATAAATTAGGAAACCTTTAATGTCTCAAACTCTGAAGCTAAGTGAGATAAACTATTTCTGACTTTACTAAAAATTTTTTTTATCTGGAACTGTATGTAATAAAAAAAAATGTCGAAAAAAATCAATTCTAAGCATTTTTTTGAAAAAAAATCTACTTCTTGAAGTTTTTCACCGTTAACACCGAAACATTTTTTTTACATTCTTATTAAGAACCCCAAGACACATATTTTGGAAAAAAAAAACCTTAAAAATCGATAGGTTGCTAAACTAGAATTGTTCCGACACGTTTATGTGGAACGACGACACTTTTATTAATACAATATAATAATATAGTATTATTCCGGCATAAGCTGACCCACCACCGCCGCTGGCCGGGAAGGCTAGACCGGTTATCGGTCGCGATCTTGCGGTTGTTGCGATAATGACTGCGACATGTACAATCTAAAATTAAAAGAAAAAAAACTATATTGACATTAGTTTAGTACATTGTTTAATAAAATATTTATTATTCACAGAATATTCCAGAAATAGAATCAGACATTATTCAAAGAAGAAATAAATATTATCAATTTGGTTGTACTCTTCAGCCATTTGTGTACTTAGTTGGTGAAGATTTGTCCTCAATCAGTCAAAGTTATGTTCATGTAGACAATCAACTTTGAACATTCAACAGCCCATTAGAAGCACTTTACGCTTGTTTTAAAGTTTACTTTGGCCTTAACAGTTCGTACCCACGTGAATGTTACGAGTCGTGGATTTTCATTCAACATCATGTTTATGGACTGAAAACTGAATATGACCAGCCATTGCTACATCTATCTCCAAGAAGTTAAATACACAATAATTACCTACTTGTATTATCTTATTATATTATATATCTAAAATAGGAAGTATTTAATATTAAGTTTATAAGTTTATTTAAGTTATATATAAGGGATTATTCATGAATTATATTTTTTTCTTTGTAATAAAAAACTGAAGACTATTCCTCAGTTAATTTATCATTTAAAAATTGTTCATAATTTAGATAAAAACTCACACTACTGTTGTAAGCAAACATTTTACCATCTCAATTTTCGTAGGTTGCACAAATTTAGACAACATTTAAATAGAAACCATATATATAATCAGGAAAATGATAGAAATGATATTGCTTCTTTATGTACTAATTTAGCACCATTTGAAGATACAATTATAAATGAGTCCATTTATATAAATCCTTTAAAATATGATCCTCTAGTTAACTATAATGACAATACAAACTATGAACTATCTGAACAAACAGTTTTATTAAATGAATTAGTTTCTTCTGGTGGAAGTCATGATACAGAAAATAACTAATTTAGCGCTATTTAAAAAAAAAAATTGATAAAGTTATACTAAGTTTTATTGCAAATTTAATGACGTAGATTATTATTACAAGAAATAATTGAAGGAATAATAAATATATTTTCTAGTGAACTAATAGTAGATATAAAAAGAAAAGTTTTATCAGTTTTGAGAAAATTTAACTCTTTAGAATAGTCAACAATTGAAAATATGTTCGAAACTGTAGAAAATTAATTTTCTAGTGTCAAAACTAAAACCTTATTGAAAAATAATGTTTTTGTTAAACCAGAAACTATAGTTGTTGGCTATACAAAAGAATAAAGGAATGGTGAAGGTAATGATAAAATTGTAATGGTACCAGTTCAAGGTCATCTTTTATCCATGAAAAAAAATCTAAAATAATGTTTTGAATAACCTGATGTTTTTAAAATAGTTAATTATTATATTAATGATTCATTAAACAATAAAGAATTACTAACATCATTTTTGGATGGAAAAACATGAGATCCAAATTTAGAAATGAATTTGTATTCCCAATATTCCTTTATTATGATGATGTAGAGTTAGGGAATCCTATTGGGTCTCATTCCGGTATCAACAAAATGGGATGTGTTTACTACACAGTTGCGGGGCTTCTCTCAGAGTACTTATCTTCACTTGATAATATATATCCTGACATTCTATTTCACACACAAGATAGAGGATATCAATCTATTTCCAATAAACATATGTTTTCAGCCCTTATTAAAGAATTAGTAAGTTTGCAAGAAGAAGGAATTATGATTTGAATTAACGGTGAAGAAATCAAAATGTACTTTACCCTTGGTTTAGTTCTGGGTGAATTTGGGCTTAAATTTCATTTTAGGGTTTGTTGAGAATTTCACAGCTAATTTTTACCGTCGTTTATGTAGATCCCCAAAACAAGAACTCCAACAAATGTGCCATCAATCAAACACTTCTCTTAGAAATATAATTAATTATGAGTCTGATATTAAACATAATAATGTATCTGAAATTGGGGTTCATGAATATGTATTATGTATTTTTCACAAAATTCAACACTTTCATGTCACTGAAAATTTAATTTGCTACTTCATGCATGACATACATGAAGGTGTTGCACGGTACGATATGGCACTAACAATTGCAGATCAAGGATATTTTACATAGAATGAGTTTAATAACCGATTACGTTATTTTAATTATGGTATCACAGAGCGTACAAATGTACTAATATTAAAAAAGGTATTTTAATAATGTCAGCTTCTGAAATGTTATGCTTAAGAGGCCCTTCTGGTTGAAAAATTCCGCCGTAAAAACATGCTTTCGTACTTCCCATTTTTCTCAGCTCTCGTTAGTCGTAGAAACATGATTTTTTCTCTAAAATAAACGTGAGAATTTCTTCTACATTATTACGAAACCAGATTTTTGAAATTTTTTTCAAACAGGTTATAATTGCATTTGAAATTTACCAATATTTTTAAATATTTAAAAATCATATAAAATAGACAACAAAAGATATTAAAAATCTAGTTTCGTAATAATGTAGAAAAACTTCTCGAGTTCATTTTGGTGAAAAAATTATGTTTCTACAACTAACGAAGGCTGTGGAAAATGGGAAGTACGAAAACATGTTTTCAGCACGAAAAATTAGAAATTTTACAGCCGTCATGTGCTGCTCGGTAACACAATTCAGACCATCAACCAGCGTAGAACGAATGTAACCATACCGCACCATAGGTCAAAACAGGTTTTCAAATCGCGACCGGGTACACTCGCCGTTTATAAATAGTCGGTACGAAAACAATAATTATTATGTTGATGACAGAACATTAATTGTTTTATTATTTTCATGATACTCTATCGAATATTATTATTCTGCTCACTATGTTTTACACAAATTAAAAATCTCATATCCTAAAATTATTATAAATCGCTTAATATACTACATTCTAAATAGTTATTTTTTTAAACTTGTAGCTAATTAATTGATGATACAATTATTTATTCTGACCAACTAATTATGAAATTTAAATCTGTGTAACAAAAAACATCAAACATTCACAATTTTTTTAAAAAAATTATACTTATATAATATATATTATATCTAAAGAATATCTATCATTATATATTAATTTATTTAGACATTTAGAAACAATTTTAGTTTTTTTTTTTATTTTATTTGTGACTATACATTTTTACAGAAAGTAGGTATTTAATAAATACGTAAAATATTTACATAATTTTATATGTTCTATTTCATTTTGTTATTATTCACTTAACTATACCCTTTTTTACATAGATAATATGTACATATTAAATTTCATTGAATAAAAGCATAGGTATTATATTAAAATATTCCACGCTATAGTACTAGCATTAATTTAAGTTATCAATTATAATAAATTATCATTAATCCAAATGTTGTGTTTCAATTAGTTATAAATTATCAGTCAAATTTGTTCTGTCATTTGTATTTACCTACATAATTCAATTTTAGATTCCGAGTGAAATGATGAATGTATTGATTTTACAATGATATGTGTGTTTTTTTTAAATTTTTTTTTGTGTCTATCATCACCTTTTAGGACAGTAAAAGTGCTTAGATTTTCTTCAACAGTATCTTTTCTGAAAGGAAAGTGAAACTAGTTGGTACTTTGGGGGGTCAAAAAATTTTTTAGCGTAATTTTCAAAAGCGTCGTGAAAAACAATAGAAAAATTAAGAAAAAACGGGAATTTGTACGCAAAATCTGTTTTCGAAAAAATCGATTTTGGTTTTTGGTGTAACTCTAAAAAAAAAAGACCGCAGATACATGAAATATTTACTGAATATTTATATTAGCATTTTCAATACACCATGCTTTATTTTAAATATTTCTACTTATTTTGAGCACTTATATATTCTGTAAATGTCAACAAAATTTTATTTGTTGGGTACAAAAGCTTAAAAGTTTAATAGAAGGCAACTAATATATTGTTTCAAAGACAGATGAAAAATATTAAAAATCCAGTCACAATTTTTTTTATAAGCATATAAAGTTCAAATATTGACAATATACGTAAAAATTACGTAAAAATTATTTTGAGTTAGAGATTCATAAAAAATTGTCTTTTTAAATCTGGTTTAAAAAGACAAATTTGGCGCGCTTGTATTTGAACATTTTTAGAAACCCTGAAGAGAATTGTCCACGGGTCGCGCTGTAATCGAATATCTAGTGCTGTGAAACGGACTATAGTGTTTCCTCTGTTAACATGGGCAATTTTCGTGAACTTCTAAAATATAGAATACTTGGTGGTGATTCTACTTTAGAAAATCATTTAACAACTACTCATTCAAAAGCAACATATATTAGCCCTGTAGTCCAAAATGAATTGATAGATTGTTGTAAACAAATAATAACCCAACAAATTTTACATGAATTAAAAGAATCAAAATATTCCAGTATTTTATTTGACGAAACTACTGATATGAGTCATGTTTCTTAAATGAGTCTTATTTTGAGATACATTAAGAAGGGTGTAATTCAAGAAAATTTTATTGCATTTATTGATTGTCACACATATATGTATGGTAAAAATAAAACAATTGATTCTAATGAACATAACATCCAAGATACTACTTAAAATACTGTCATAGAACCAAAATTAACTGGTGAAATTTTGGGCAATACTGTTCTTAAGATATTGAAACATTTTTCTTTAGACCCTCAATACTGTGTTGGAGTAGGTACAGACGGATGTTCTGTAATGGTATCTTCTATCAGGGGAGCTATTAAAACAATACAATCAGTTGCTAAAAATGCTATACGTTGTTCTTGTGCTAATCATGCATTAAATTTAGCCATTTCCAAATCATCAACAGTTCAAAGTATAAGAAATAGTGTTGGTCTTGTAAAAGAAATTGTTTCATTTTTTAATATGTCTGCAAAAAGAAACTTTGTTCTAAAATCAGTTTTAAATGGAAAACCTCACTTAAAAAGTCTATGTGAAACGAGATGGACGGACCGCCATGATAGCATAGCAATTTTTAAATCTTCAATGTCTGACATAATAGAAGCCCTGACCAATATATCAGAATGGAATGAATTAGTTTCATCATCTAAATTATCTAAAGCCAAAACTCTTTTAACAGCTATGTGTACATGTGAATTTATAATTTCAATTAATGCCTTATCTAACATATTATGTGTAACAGCTCCTATAAGCAGAATACTTCAAGGCATTGACAAGGATGTATTAGCTGCATTTGAATGTATTCAAAATGCAGTAACTATTTTGGAAAATATGCGTACAAATTGTGATACAGTATTTAAGCAAATATTTGAAGAGAGCTGTTCATTAATGAAAAACTTTGAAATTGAAGTAAATACTCCAAGGTTATCTAAACGTCAAACTCAACGTTCTAATCACCCATCTGAAACTACAGAAGATTTTTATAGGGTGTCTCTATTTATACCATTGGTGGAAAATGTGTTAGAAGATTTAAAGTTACAGTTTTTAAGTAAACAAAACCAGACGGTAACAATTTTGAGTCAACTTATACCAAAATTTATTGTAGATGTAAATGATGAAAATATTGACTCAATAGTATCAATAATGAAAAATGGTTATAGATTTGATGATGACTTATTAGAACTATTGGAAGAATCACAATTAAAATCAGAAATACAACTATGGAAAGAAAAGTGGAAAACAATAAAAAATGAAGGTTATAATAATTTACTATGAAATGATTATATTATGAAATTATAAGCTTTAATTGTGTTTCAGGTGGAGATGTAATAAAATATGCATTAACAGCTATTGACCAATGTAATGGTATACTTGTAGTATTAAAAAGAGAGTTCAGAAGGCTGCTCCGCTGATCCTTGCTGCCCTTGCTGTCCCGCTGATCCCCTCGCCATCCTTGCTCGTCACCGCCGCCCGATCTCGCACGTGCGCGATGTATATTTTACCCCACCCCGTCCTTACTCATCGTTGCTCGTCATCGTCATGCCGCCGCCGCCTGATCCGTCACGTGACGGACGTAATGTACAGCGCATGCGTACAACATAGAGTCTCTTATCTAACAGTCATATGATACTAAATTATTGTGTATATTATCGTGCATATTATTGTAAACTTTTTTTCATTAAATAAATAATGAAAAAAAGATTAATGGGATTCGAACCCTCGACCCCAGAGCTATACCACTGACGCTTTAATCCCACTAGGCCACAGACCTGTCATACTGTTGTTATGATTCTTAACGTATATAGGCGAATGAAATACACAAAGTTATATTCCGCTGACCAAGACATGTTATCAAATATCTGTTATCACTAACGTATCATAATATACCATAATATTGTGCATATTATTGTATATACCATATTATTGTACTCGTCTCAAGTCAAATCATATGTATTATAATTATGAATATTTTACACGACCTGAGATGAAATTAACGGAATTACGGTATATCTTCCAAACTGAATTATACCTTCAACACCCCACCCTGATAAATTGGATCATTCTCACTTATATGAGATCATTATACCACCTTAGACCCCAAAATAATTTTATTCAAACCACTAAAATCATTATTAATTTAAATCACATCGTATTCAACTGTCATGACATCAGCATCCATATTTTAATTAATCTTATCTCTGTTTTAATACTTCGCAAATAAGCACAAACAGTTCTATTCTTTGTTTTAATTAATTCAAAGAGTCTTTAACTACATAATGGATTCCCAATCATGTAAGAATATTTTATATTATATTATATTATGGTATGATACATTTTTTTTATTCAGTCAATGAAATATTACATATCGTTTTAAAAAAATCGTTGGGAGAGAAATTAGAAGCAACATGTGGTGTAAATTTCACTATATCGGACATGTGCAAGCAATGCAGGATAAAAAAGGGTAACTTCTGTAAAAATAATCACTTAGTTAATAGTTCAAAGTGGTTTGAAATTATAAGTCGTAAATTTGGTAAATGTGAAATAGTACGGTTAGTAGATGATATTGCAACATATTCAGGGTTTGATTTTGAAATGTTATTACGCGAGTTGTATGAGAAAGTGTACAGGAATATTTTCGATAGTGGACATAATTTCTGGAAGAAGAAAATTACTAGAAAAAGCATAACACATAACAAGCCGACTGTAAGTGACAATTATTGGAATAATTTAATTTATATGATATTAGAATTAAAATGTGAAGAAAATAATATTACAATAAATAAGTATGATTTACCTATAAAAACAAATAAAATTGTCTACAAAAATGTATTTTTAGATTCCTTAGGTATACATTACGATTATAACAAATTAACTATTCTGGAAAATCATCGCAATATCAATTTCGGGTCAAGTACAGCTGAAATTTGGTAGAATCTACTTTCTGGAGAGCAGCCGTCGGAAATGGAGAAGAGTTGAACCGTCATATGGATACATATGAAGATGATGAAGAGCTTAACCGTTATATGGATACGTATGAATGTTGTACCCATGAGCTATGTTAAAAAAAATTTTTTTGTAATATTGTTTAAAATATAATCTTTTAACATTTGTAAGACACTTGTAATTGAGTACCTTATTTTGGAGACATAGTCGAATTATAATGAAGGTGATAGGTTGGTAGTCGAAGGTGATTTGGTGTTAGGAATTTGTGATAAGACTCTCTGGCTCTTTGGCGGTCGCGTTTCGAAGGCGGGAAAGTTTAAAAGTCGAGTTTTAATGTCTAGAAATCTCCCATGATCCATGAAAGTCAGCAATACAATGATACGATTCCCCAACGTATATGTCCCGGTGCTTTTCCGTAGCTACTATGTGTAAATATGTTTAAATGTAAAAAATGTAAAGCCGAAAACCGTGTTGGAGTGTCTAGCAAGTCAGTAACCTGATTTCTGAAGTGAAAATCGATTAACTTTGAAGTTGTCCACCTATTTGTACAACAGAAAATCAGGTGGGCAAGTATTACATACATTAAACGGCTATAGCCTATAAGTGAAACTCGACTACCATCTACCTATATGAATGATGAACAATCCGACTTTGTCGTAGTTCTACAACTAACTGTGGTCGTAGTAGAATGTTAATGATGTAGTCGAGTATGTGATAACGACAAATGGCCTATCCATTCTTTAATATCTATGTTTATGTATGGCTGATAATGATTAGTGATAGCGCTTGGTGGTTTGGCGGGAATGTTTAAATTTTTGAACTTTCTGTGTCAGTGCTGTTTTCCGTTGCATGTCCGGTGCCTTTTTTGTTTGTGGAGCAAAATGTCAAGTTTAAAATCGTGTTGGAGTGTCTAGCAAGTGGATGCCTCATGTAATATTCGATGTACGTTCATCGAAGTCGCCCAGGTAGGTACTCCGAGGTCGTCGATCGCGTACAATTTTCAACGGTATATCAGGTATGTATTGCAGATAGGTACTTTAGTTTAAATGTCACAGTAATAGTTTAAATGTTACAGCCATCGTCAAAAAATATAATATGGATCATACGCGGTTATACCTTCCCATAGGCGTGCGCAGACCTTGCTGGCAGGGGGGGCAGAATGTAATAATGTACCTATAGGTATATTATATAATATATAGGTAAGTAAATATTATTTTGGTTATTAGTTCAATTAATGTAAGTGATGGAAGTATTTTCATTTTATGTATCATTAAAACTACAAATAACTACAAATTTAATATAGTAATTGAAACTCCAAAGTTTTTTTATATTATATTAATATACATGAACAAAGAAAATTATTACATTCATACAGTGGTGGATCCAGGGGGATGGCAAAGGGGGCATTTGCCCCCCCCCCCCAATAACCGTAGTTTTCCTTTGTTTTACACTGTGTTTAGCCAATTTTGGAACTTTCATATACTTTTGAGCCCCCCATGCCCCTCCCAAAATTAAGCCCTGGATCCGCCACTGCATTCATATATATTTTTATGCCCGATGTGTTGGTGAAATCTGAATTTACTAATTCTACTTACTTTTTATTTACAATTACAAAAAAAGTAAGTAAGATAGGTAAATTATTATTTGCACCAACACGTTGAACATATTATAAATATCAACATTTAAAAAAAAATTTAAATCCTTAGTATTGCATTTACATGATTTTTCCAAAAATAGTACCACTATTATATCATGCATTAATGTATCAATAATATTCTATTCTTTGGTAATATTGAAATTTATACATTATTGTAGGCATGTAACCTATTATTTAAACTGTTTTATACATTATACTTTATAGGTATTTAATAGTATTAGGTATATAATAAACAATTTGATTTGTAGGTTACAGTATAAATAGAAAATTAATTTCAATATAAAACACCACATTAAAAAAAAAGATAGGTATATTCTGATTTAATCAACACGTTGAGCATAAAAATACTATAATACTAAAAATTCCGAAAATTGCTTCGGAAGTAAAGAGCTATAATATTTGTTCGTATACTGCATACTAATTATTATAATTATTAATTACTAATTATTTAAAGAACCGACCTTCTTAGCGCTTCCGGTGAACGTTTTTCGCATTAAATGCCGTCAAATTACTACTCACTTTCATGTCTCATCACATCTCAATCTACATCATGCTATAATAAGATTATAAGCACTCGTTATCACCGCGGTATCGCTTGTGGTTCGCTTAAAGTTGGACAACATAAAATCATCGTGCACTGTACATCGAGCACTCAATGTTTACATAATATTCATTATATAAAACTGTATTATAATATTTTTTTAAAAACTTTGTTATTTTGTAAGAAAACTTGAGCCCGCAGGAGGGGCAGCTGCCCACCCTGCCCCTCCCGTGCGCACGCCTATGTACCTTCCGTATACGTTAAAAAATTAGTATGTCTATTCGTGTATTCATAGGTATGATATTGTTAACATAATAATTTCTGAAGGGAAAAATTATGTCAGCGTAAAAACGTATAATTCGGTAGAACGGTGTGTAATGACCAATAATGATGATATCTAAGGCTCGTGTATCGTGACGGTCTCTGTTTGTTTACCTGTAGTCACTATCGATCTCTCTCACACGAAGCTTTCGCGTTATCGTGTAATTGTCGATACGACCGATGTCCCATCTAATTTAATGGAGTGATGGGAAATCCATTTTTTGCGGACAGGATGTATGATCGGTGACGAACGCCGGACATATTTCATTTGACATTTGGACGCCGTTCGAGTAAGTAAACGTATTTAATTCCTTATTGTAGGTACCTTCTTATACTGGCCTTGTGTCCCGGTGTTTTTTTTCATGTTAGTTTAACTTGGTAGAGTAAAATGATTTATGCTCAAACACTTTTTAATACTTATAGAATATATTTAATTGTATCTCGATCAATATTTAAACACCTCTTTATACAATACAATTTCGTTTAATTGTTTATGAGGTCTGAATGTATGACTATGGGCACGTGTGCATTTGAATGAATGTAAATCGTATTCCGTAGTAAATTTTAGTTGACCAGATTAAATAGTGCGCTGTTTGTAATTGGTTTTTATAATTTTTATAAATATTTTAGGAAATTATATCTGTGCATTATTATTATTTTATATTTTGCATTACACATACACATAGTTCGTTTAAAAATTAAAATGTCGTAAAAAATCGATCGAGAGGACACAGATTATCTTCTTATATTAGTTTTCAATTTTCAATTAAAAATACTAATAGTTGAGTTCACCGTAAAACTAATATATAGCACACTATTGAAACCGTCGAACGAAAATTAACTATATCTTACATGTGTAAGACGGAGACAACATAATATTATGCGGGTATCTTCTTAACTGGATCGCAGCACGTCTGTAGGATATTATGTGTTTGAAAACTCAAGCTTTT